GCATTTGCGCTTCTCATCTCACATTACGCACTATCAATTCAGTGTACACAGTGTTGCAAGGATACGCAATGCGTCATGTCTGATGTGCCATAAACCCAAAATATGTCAACGTATGATTTTGCAAGAACATGAATTGTGTTTGACAAAAAAAAAACAGAAAACGCATTACCCACTTCAAAAAATAATGAATATGATGTCACAAAGCACTACAAAACATGTTCATCTTAATGCTAGGTGAGAAGTACATGACTGGCTGACTACTGTGTGCCATGTTCTTATCATGCATGGAAGTGATGCTGGAAATTGGCACCCGGTAGCCAACCCGCATGTCAATTTCGTTCACATCTGTCGGACATTTGCCCATGGCGCTGCATTCAAGATTCACAGGGAGACTAAGATGAAGGTGATAAATAGTAACAAGGCCAACTCTCTCTCTCTCTCTCTCTCTCTCTCTCTCTCTCTCTCTCTCTCTCTCTCTCTCTCTCTCATGAAGGTGAGAAATAGCAACAGGGCCAGTTTTCTGACAAATTTTAAATATTCCCAACAATATCTGCAATGTTCAACAGTTGATCATCACATTTTCAACAACATTTCAACAACTTGTAAACAACTTTTCAATAACTTTTCAACAATTTTTCAACAATTGAACAAGTGTTGAACACGGTGTCGCATGTTTATGACATATGTTATCAAAGTTGAGTTCCTTCACTTTTGGTGGAACACATGACACCACCCCCGCCAAACTGTTTATTAACACGAAACCAACAGTTTAAAAGGGGTGCACACATTTGATAACCCCCCCCGAAAATGCCCACATTTTTTTTGTTGATACACGCTAAGACGTAATCGTCGGTACGTTAGTTAGGGTAAATTAATTTACGCCTTAGCCGGAGGCGATCATTAATGTATAATCTACGGGACTGCAGTAGTACCCGAAAAACTAGCTTTTGTTTTCTTCTGCTCGGCGGCCTGGTCCCTGCGCATCTACTGGTGCTTAAGTGGTACTGGCCGGCGTGCTACTTGAGTGTTTTTTTCCCAGCGGCTCTGAGAGTCGCAAGCCTACCCCCGGTACTTAAATGTTTTTCCGCGGCAACCCTGAAAGTCACAATCACACGTAAGTATCGGCCATACAGACCTTTAAAATAAACGGGTGTCGATGTGGGACACCCACACACTCAAGCCAACAAACACTCAGATAGACACGCAGACCAGCAAGCGTGCAAACAAAACACAGACTTAGAAACAGGTTCGGGCCACTAGTTGGACTGAGCCCGAAAACTGTATATGTATCTGAGCGGTTCCTTTTTAACTAGAGCAGGAGCTAGCTCAGTAGGTTCAAGTTCAGACTGTGACGCTATAGATTCAGGGATCAAGTCCGTCCAACCCTGAGCTAGATCCTTTTTGATAGGGAGCAGCACCGGGGCCGCTCGTTTTTACCAGGTACGAGGACTAGCGGGGCTTGAACCCGCGACCTCGGGGTTAGGATTAGGTAGAGGTTAGTTGGTTAGTTGAGCGTCTACCCGTTTTAAACGAGGACCCGACACTTGGCAGGTTAGGGGTGTTGGCAGTTAGATTTTCGTTAGATTTTGTTCTTTTCTTTTGTTTTTGAATTTCCTATTTTTTTTCTTTTATTTCTTTTTAAGTTTTATTTCTTCCATTTTCTTTTTTTTACGTGTATAGTTTTTTTTAGTTAACTACTTTTTTTTTATGCGCCTGCCCCGAATTTCGGGCAGGTTCATTACCGGGTAAGGTCCCCGGCATCGCCTCGCGTGACAGGCCAACATCGGCATTACGTGCGGGCAGAGGACGCGAATAGCGCAGAGAAAGCAACGAGGTAGCGCGCACGGGAAAAAAAAGGCGCGCGGAAGAAGAACAAGAAGAAGAAAAAGAAGAAGAAGAAGAAGAAGAAGAAGAGGAGGAGGAGGTAACGGGAGAAGGCAGCTTACCTGGCAATAGGAACGCCCTCCCTTGCAGTCCATGATGCCGCCGGGAGGTTAGGGCCGTCATGTCGACGAGTGGAGTACGCATTGCGGCAACACGCAATGACGATAACGACGACGACGGTGACGACGACCACGACGACGCCAAGGATCAGAGCACGTAAGTCTCCAAAGTCGCGTCGTGACCTCATCGTACTTCCATCAACAGGATGATCAAAATCGAAGGAAACGAGCGCTATATCTGGGGAATATACACTACCACTCTCGAATATGGGTGTGTGTGTGTATGTGTGTACATGTGTGTGTGTGTGTGTGTGTGTGTGTGTGTGTGTGTGTGTGTGTGTATGTGTGTGTGTGCGTGTGAACACCGTGGATAAAACTGCGACTACTTCCATCGATAGGATGAGCAAAATCGAATGAATCTACTTCTACTACATGGAAATATACACTACCACAATTTGCAACGTCGCGGACAGCCTCATGGTACTTCCATCGATAGGATGAACAAAATCTAGTGCATCTACTTCTTTTACATGGAAATATACACTACCACACACACGAGTGTGTGTGTGTGTGTGTGTGTGTGTGAGTGTTTGAGAGAGAGAGAGAGAAAGAGGGGGGGGAGGAAGTAGAAGGAGACTCACCCGATCGGCGCGAAAATCGGGCAACCATCGCTACTCTGACACTACTCACCCTCACCATGACTGTACCAAGCCGAAAACAGCGGTAATATACGTTAATTATTTTGGTTAATATCTAATATTATCGTTGGTGGTGAGTTTTACGGTCATTTTTGCTTTTATTTTTATTTTTTATCTATTGATTTATTATTATTATTATTATTATTATTATTATTATTATTATTATTATTATTATTATTATTATTAAAGCAAATAGTACTACCTTGGATACTCGGTGTTTCGACGGCTGGCTTAGTGAGTTTGGGCCATGGCTTACCCGATCTATGGAAGTCCTGGTCTCGGTATGTTGCAGATCGGAACGGATCGTGTGTTGGTACTCCGTCGCGTTTTGGATACGAAGCTGCGAAGGTGAATCTCCAAAACCTCGCGGCTTCTCTCGCAGTGCTTCCGTCGACAAAGATGAGCAAATCGAATTAATCCACCGGTAGAACATCAGAATATACATTGCCACCCTATTTTATTTGTGCACGTGAGTGTGGGTGTGTT